TTTAAAAAAAAAAAAAAAAAAAAAAAGAACAGCAAGAAGACAACTCGAAGGGCGACATCTGCTATTTGGAGAATATTTGCGGAGCTGAACAACCCTAAACGTGCACTATCGAGGATGAACTTAACATCGGTGGAGGTAAGCATGATTTAGCTATGTTTTTAAACTAAGAATTATTTTGAAGGAATAATAAAATAATCATTGAATTCGGCTTCCCTATCATATGAAGGATTATGGAGATCTCGGAGGTGTTATCCGCCTTTGGCGGGCTCCAGGGGTTTCAAATGACTGATGCACAACCGAAAGAAACGAGAGACCTTCAGAGACCAGAATGTGCTCTATGTACAGGTATGGGAAAATCCTTATCCCAAAGGTCACGACTTTGCCCTAAGTCCTGTATCTTGTTTCTAGTTTTGTTCAGCGATTAAAGATCATCAGAAACTACCTTAAAGCAGGAACCAAAAATTTCAAACTTATGGAAATCGCCACAAATTTAGCTCATACAGTCTTTTCTTTGCCCATGGGGCGGGAGAGCGAACTGCGCCCTGTAAGCATCAAATCAGTATATGCTTATGAAAATGATACCAAACCGAACTGAGCAATTACAGTGGAACCTCGATATAACGAACCTCTATACTAACGAAGTCCTCAGTTTAACGAACGATATTTTTTGCCCCAGTAGTAGTAAAATACATTGAAATAACCTCTATATAACGAAACCTCGTTATAGTAAACAGATTGCCAGTCCCTCATGGCCCTAGTTTTTCGTTATATCGAGGTTCCACTGTCACTTCAACGTCACCTCCCAGTGTAAACTCCCCCTTCCACAAAAAAATTCAAAACAAGCTGGCTAAGAAATGTTTCCTCCAGGCTCTGGTTCAAAGAAAGAAACAAATACATTTTTTTATATTTTGATCCCCCAACCCGAGCTAGAAAGTGCTGCCTTCAGTTATGACTGACAGAATACTATTAACATAAACAGTCGATCTACTAGATTTATCCTACCGTCAAGAAATGTTGACAGAACTATTCAGTCACAAAGCACAGGGGTTAAAGCTCATTCGGCTAAGATCACAAATAGTAGGGAAATTTAAATATCCCATTTGGAAAGCATCCATAAATTTCATATGGCTTTGAAAAGCTGGGTTGGTATATTCAGACAGAGGGGCTAATTAAACCAAAGGTAAGACATTTCATACCATCGGAGCTCCAATCTTTTATTCATATGATACACTAGCTACATTACACACTGATGTTCGGATACTACATCAGAGGACTGAAAATAATTTTATTGATGGGTGCCGAATTTTAAAACTCCTGAACTAAACAAACAGGACTGAACTTCAACATTCCTGAAACATGACGCACACGAAATCGGTATGAAGACAGGTTATACACTTTCTCAGTCTTTCTTTGTTTCAAATACTCGCTTCCGATCCAGCAGTGATCTAACTTTTTAGAAGTTGAGATAATTTGTTTCACAACTGAATCGCACATAATTACCTTGATGGAGTCACTTTATTTGTTTTGCAAAACATATAAAAGCAGACTCCACTGACAAAATGCATGTTTAAAATCCACTGAATATATGCCCGTCAGCTAGTCAGTTTTCATGAAACGACCTAACTGAACACTTGGCCGTTTTTCAGATGCTTACGCAAAGTTTCGTTTCAGATCTGCATTTTATGACTTTCATTTAAACTAAGTCTTTTTCCCCAGGTATTCTTCAGCGGGGGAAATAAGAATCATTACAATAATATTAGTCAGGGCCGCGACACTGTGAACTGAACCGGTATTCATGCTTTTTGTAGAAGACTTTTATCATACTATTACGAAGTTACCCTCTCAGAGTTATGAAGCCAAATTAATAGAATGCTGGTCTTGGATAATGAGAGACTGGAGCTTAAAAATAAAGCTGAGAGACTCAGTCATACTAGCCAAAACTTACAATACGATCCAAAACGCTTGTAATAAATTAAACCTAATCCTCGATTAAAACCGGCTAGTAGTGGGATGGTGGTAACCTACCTTCGCGTAACAAGGTCACCATACCGCCGACGGACCTAGAGACAATATCGATTGATGTTCAGTCTCTATCTATCTAGCTAGCATTTAACAATTTTAATTGGTCATCATTAATTTTCTTTCATTTTTTTCCAAGGGAAATTCCAATTTAAAGATGAAACCTCTACACTGGGCTTTACTCTTACTTCTGGCAAAAACAGGCAAGCCTGCTTACCGGGTTACTTTAATGAGTTTATTCAATTCGGCTGGCTGTGAGGAAATTACACTGTATATTTTCTGATATATTTTGATTGTTAACCCAGATGTGCTAGCGCAAAGTTGCAAGGAAGGCTCAGTGGTAAATGATCATTTTGGTCAGCGACGTGTGTGTCGTGGCGGGAAACTGGGGAATCCTTGTCGAGTTCGACGAGAATGGAGTGGGATGCTCCCTGGAGAGAGGTATGTTATAATAACGCCTGAATTGAGAGCAAAGTTTCAGTATGACTGCCTAGCGCAGGACATAAGTATAAGTACAAAATAGAGCTAATCAAAAACACCCTTGGAACCGAATGGTGCTGAGTTATGCTTTATATGCTTGTGTAACTATGAACACAACTATTTCTGAGTAAGCGCATTATCAGTTTTGCTCTTCTAGGATCTAGTTCCGTGCGTAATAAATCTGATAAATTCACGACTCATTCAGGCGTCAATTAAGCTGGCCTGCGATCAGATAATTCCCTTATTTACCAGAGATAGCAGATAAGACGTCGAGGTAAGTACGCATCCCGGCTTGGTACGCTAATGCGCAGAAATTTTAGCCATCGAAACCGCAGGCTTGAGTCCCCTCGCGGGGGACGATGTCCTATACGCTTGCGTATTCGCTCACTGTCCTATGTATGCAGAATACAACAAGAGAACTCATATCATAAACTACAGGTGCTATAAATTAAACATGCGATCATCAGTCGATGTTAATTGAGGGAAAAACTAATGGAAAAGCTAGAGGTAACCGTGAATATGTAAGAAGTAAGTTATGGCCGCATCATGCAAGAAATAAACCTGACGGGAAATCTGACGTACACTCAGTCGCCGCATGTATCGACATGTAGCCGGTTAACGCAAGACATGTAGCCTGTGTTACCAGACCCCTCCTCCCCTCTGATTTTTACTAAGTGGGGGGAGGGTCGGTACACAGGTTACAAGACACGCCATAGTCTTGGATCAGTCTGTATTCTACGCCGTGGCTTACGGATTCTTGGTTTCCGCATTCCTTGAGCTGAATTCAAATACCTGAGTCCAGGAAATCCAGATTTTGAAAGCAATAATAACCCGTATTGCCTTACATCGGGCGATGCACTAAGCCATGACCGGTTTCGCCTCGTAGAAAAGTCATTACAATAGACCTTTTTCAACCCGTATGGGAGGCATCGCGCGCGAAATGCTGTAGGTCATTTCCGAGTTCCCCCGGGTTTTTGTATAAAAACGAGGTTAAGTGTTCAGCCTTTGATATGGAAATGATTTTTCATTCTCATGTAAGTAAAACTCATTTTCACAAGGAAGGTTGTGCACTTGGCCTCATTTTGAAAGTGGGGGTTTTTGGAACTCGGAAGTGGCCTATTAGCTAGTTTTAACTATTCCAGCGAAAACTTTAAGTTCAGTGATATATTAAGCAACATTTATATTATTACATTCCTACCATGACAGCTCACTACTTATTGATAAAAAGTTACTAGTTAAGAATTGCAGGTTGAAATGTTCAAGACAAAGAGAGTAACTGAAAAGTACCGTAATAAATCATCTTTTCAGTCAAAACTATCCACTGAATAGAGTTGCCCTCCATACATGCTTAAGCTGGCTTACGACAAAATAAGATGCATAACTTGATTTGATATATATATATTGAAACAATGCAATTGTTTCTTGATCCACCAGGTACCGCTTTATTCGCGCAATCAAGAAAGCATCTCAACGCCAAGATTATAAGAATCTTATTACGAAGCATTCTAAGGAGTTTAACAATATACATAACGCCAGGCAATTTCTGGCCTGGCACAGATGGTATTTACTGCACATTGAGAACATTTTACGTAAAGTGGATCCAATAGTGACGGTACCATATTGGGACTGGAGTTTATGGTCTGGAGCACCATGGCTGGATCAGGTGATTATTATGCGTTATGTTCAGTTGGGGACATTACGAGCGCTCCATGTCAGCTAAAGGAGACGCCCCGCTCCAGTATCTCAAGATGGCTAGTTATTATTGCCTTATGAATTTTGCAAAGCCAACATGCAGCAAATTTCATCGAGCAAGGTTTGTCATGATTCAAAAAGGACGTGACCTGGCCGGCTTAGACCCACCTTATCCCAATCATGATTAATGATTTTTATACTTCTTTCTTAATTATAATTTAATTTTATAAAGAATTGACAGAAACCGCGAAGTCTTTTCTTGTTCACATCCAGGGAACCTCTATAAGTTCCGTATTTTATGCAATTTAATCCATTTTCATTCTTTGGTTATTTATGCAGGATAAATAATATAAGCTGTTGTTGTTAGAAAGTCTGCGCATTATCTTAAAGCTCCTTTTATTATGGTTAGTTTTAGAGGGATCCTTCTTTCTCCACCAGGAGCAACTAGGAAATAAGAGATGTCTAGCACAGATTAAGGTCCTTTTCCATGTGCACGAGAAGTTAATCCGTCTACATCTTGAATGTTGCAAAATTAATATGAGTAGCTTTTAACTCACTTTTTCAGATCATGAGCTTTTGGAGTAATGCACCATGGGGATTTGGTAGTAATGGCGGCAGAGATGGCTGCGTGTACAACGGACCTTTTGGAAAAAACAAATGGTCACTAACTAACGGAGAATGTCTCAAGAGGGGCTTCAATGGTAAGATTTTACAAACACTCCCACAGAGAAATCAATCAAGATGCTGATCGATGCTGAGGTCTCCATCGTCAATTATGCATCAGTCAATTCCAGCTGTGCCCAGCCGTCCTCTCGGGCTGACCCCTGGGCATTAGCATTTTTTTGCCTTGGATGGCAAATTCCTGGGAGTGGGGACTCTTGAGCTGTCAAATCCCCCGGGGTGGGGACGAAAAAAGAGGGCAAATGCCCTGTCCTCCGTCACCACTTCAACATTTTTTCAGTGATTACACGGTCAAATAGTGCCGTTTTAAACATTTCAATGTGCGATTTTTTGTTTCAAGTAACCTCTTCCTTTGTAATAGCGCTAGGATTCTAATTAAGACTTCACGCCGCGATTACATGCGGCTTGAAGTTTTTTGATATAAAATTATTGACATTAAAATTGATAGAGCGTTGTAAAGTTGTATGTTATGCATAGTTTTATAAATATGAAAGGATCTTCTTCAAATAAAATCAACAGAAATTTGATTCACTAACCAAAAAACGTTGATTCACGTTGATAGCTCCGGAGTTTCGCTATGTAATTCTGGCTTGATAAGCAATGAAATGCATGCATAGAATCGAGAACATGCGCAGCTGGAATTGACTGATGCATTACAGTTCATCAGGGCCATAATAAATTACAATGAATTATTAATTCATTTACTTTACAGGACAAAATTAACTTTGGGTTGATACTTACATACACTAATTTACCGGTGGCTTTTCTTATTGTAGGCAATCCACCAGACTGCATCGCGGTTCACAAATGCCTACGAATCTTTTCTCACAAGTTCGCCGAATTTGAGTCGACACTCCGCGATACCTTACACAACAATATGCACTGCAGAATTGGCGGGAAAGGCGGCACAATGTGTTCCAAGCAATCAGCTAATGCCCCAGAATTCCTTCTTCACCACGCATTTACTGACAAGCTCTGGGCTGACTGGCAAAAGAAAGAGACCCGCTATAAAAACGCTTACTTTCGCGGGAATATCTATTTATATGGAATCACCCCCGGAATGAGGCCTCAAAATCTTTTGGATCTGTCCAAACAACCCGGGGGAGTTTGCGTAATCTACGATGACCCACCCCACGAGAACTATAAGCTTTGTCATGATAACCTGGCCAAATTGACGTTAGCAGAGATCGACGCCATTCCAAGACAGAAGTTCACCCGCCTCAGCAGTCTTGAGTTTGATTTGTTCATGGTTAAGAAGAAAGGGAAAGCTAGGGCGATTAAAGAATTGAAAAGTTTGGGGCCCAAGAGTGTCTTGTCCAAAAGTGTGAAGCTGAAATTTCAAGATAACAAACTAGGCTTCAAACTGGACGACGTAAAAGAAGCGATTGAGAGAAAAAGGAAGAAAAAGCGAGAAGAATGTAAGAAACTAGAAGAACAAATTGCAATAGAAGATTAACGAGTTATACTCACCCTTTCTATGTAAAACATCAAGTGTCAACGGTTAAATTCGAGTTAAATGCCATAGCTTATGTTACAAAACGTAGTAAAGCTTGCGCGATTTTCTTAAACCTTTTTTTAGCACACACTTAATAAAAACAACTTGAGAATCTGTGGCAAATATCGTCGGAATAAGTGGATCTTGTTTATGTTGTCTGCAAATTTAATTCGCTTAATCCTTAATCACTTTTACGAAAAAAAATTTGGGCTTACATGTTGATTCCTATCTCGTCATTATTATAAAAGTGGTAGCCAATCTCCCATGGCTTCTGTTAAAATAGTAATTAGAGCTAAAAACATCGTAAGTGTATTTCTTTATGAGTTAGTAACAGAACAGTCTAAAAAAAAATCTAGTACTGTTAAAACAATCAGGGTAAAACTGAATAAATTCTGTTATGATTACCTAAGTCGTATATTTAAATCGAACACAGAAGGACGAGCAGGCCGGGTGCGAAAGCAGTTCTCAAGTTGTCTTTCATTTTTTTAACCTAGTACTCATTCTCTCCTGCCCAGACTCCTTCCCTGGTATGTACTTCATATATGATTATTATTATGTACCTAAACATACCTATTATTATTGTACTATATATATCAATACACCGACACCTATACATAACCATACACCCCTATACATCATCATACATCCTCTCACATCACCATACATCACTATACATAACAGTACTTCCCTATACATCACCATACACCCCCATACATAACCATACACCCCTATACATCACCATACACCCCTATACATCACTATACACCCCCATACATCACCATACACCCCTATACATCACCATACATACCTATACATCACTATACACCCCCATACATCCATATAAATCACCATCCACCCCTATACATCACCATACATCCCTATACATCACCATACACCCCCATACATCACCATACATCCCTATACATCACCATACATCCCTATACATTACCATACGCCCCCATACAACACCATACACCCCTATACATCACCATACACCCCTATACATCACCATACACCCCCATACATAACCATACACCCCTATACATCACCATACATCCCCATACATCACCATACATCCCTATACATCACCATACACCCCTATACATCACCATACATCTCTATACATCACTATACACCCCTATACATCACCATACATCCCTATACATCACCATACACCCCCATACATAACCATACACCCCTATACATCACCATACATCACCATACATCACCATACATCCCTATACATCACCTTAGACCTCTATACATTACCATACATCACCATGCATCCCTATACATCACCATACACCCCCATACATCACCATACATCCCTATACATCACCATCCACCCCTATACACCACCATACATCCCTATACATCACCATACACACCTATACATCACCATACATCACCATACATCCCTATACATCACCATACACCCCCATACATCCCTATACATCACCATACATCCCTATACATCACCATACATCCCTATACATCACCATGCACCCCTATACATCACCATACATTCCATACATAACCATACACCCCTATACAACACCATATACTCCTATACATCACTTTACACCCCCATACACCACCATACACCCCTATACATCACCATACATCCCTATAGATCACCATACATCTCTATACGCGAAGTTCTTGGAAGGATAAACAAATGGGTTTGAATAACAATGTCTATGCCTATTCTTTGGTGTTTGCTCATTCATAACATTAATTCAAAATAAGATCATGAGGCTACAGAATCCAGGTGGCATTTCAATTAGCTATGCTTTTACAGCTGTTTTCTGGATAATACGCGACCTGCGATGCCAAGAACGTCTTTGGATTTTGTGTTTTTCTGCGACGTAAATCACAATCTGAAGAAGCGACGCTTTCTTCCCTTTCTCGTCTTTACATTTAAACAAACCTCCTAGGAAATGAAAGCCAGTGGTTTGTGATTTGTGATTGGTGGATTTCGATTCGTTTCGTGTGTTTCTGTGTTTCAAGGTTCGTTGCTTTGTTTTTGAAAAGCACCGTAAGTTCAATCAAAATCAATCAATAAAGCTTTATTAACGGTATCACTTCATTAAAAATGCTCTTCCAGTGAGCCGTTTACAAAACAAAATTTTCAGAGAAACTACATTAATGCTAAAATATATCTATATATTAAGAAAATCTATCCTATAATTAATCACACAAAAATCAATCAACCTTAAAGGTACATTAAATAACTAAAATAAAATTCTATCTCAACTCCCTCAAGGCAATACCTGGTTCAAGACAAAGATAGGGCAGACTTGAAAGAGTTGAGATTTATCTCGTCTTTAAGCACATTTTCTAGGCCATTCCACATGACTGCTCCCCTATAGCTAAAGGCCCTCTTAGCAGCTTCAGTACGGGGCCTTGTACAAAAATGTTGTTTGAGGCACCTCGCACGTTGTAGGAATGAACCCCAGAGGTTGGTTTAAACATGTTCTTTAAACTCTCAGGGTAAAGGTTATTTAGAGATTTAAAAACACTTATTGCGAGCTGTTTAGAGCGTCTTTGCTCAAGGGTATCCCATCTCAAGTCTTGGAGGATATCCGCAGATCTTGTATTATAATCACTAAATGTTATAATTCTCCCAGCCCTATTTTGCAATCTCTGGAGTCGGTCATACAGACCTTTTCCCATACATCCCCAGACTTCGGAGCAATAATCAAAATAAGGAGCGACTAAGGCATCATACATTTTCAGTAGGGTTTGGCGAGGCACCAGGGAACGAATACGTTTTAAGGCCCCTATACCTGCAGATACCTTTTTACAGATGGTATCTACATGGGATTGCCACCCCAATGCCTCGTCAACCTCTATTCCCAGATACCTATAATTAGTCACCCGAGTCAATTGTTGACTATTAACAGTAACGTTTAAGTCACCATTTAAATGCCTTAGTCGGTAGTGGCTTCCAATTATCATATATTTTGTCTTTTTGACATTTAATGTGAGTTTATTGGATTTCAGCCACTTTTGAACCTCATCCAAGTCTTTGTTTAACTTTTCTTCAAGAGTTGCGGGGTCATAGGCGGAAAGGGTAAGCGAGGTGTCATCAGCATACATGAGTGCAGATGATGACAGCTCGCATTCTTGTAGGTCATTTATATAAATGAGAAACAACAAGGGTCCAAGTACAGAACCTTGTGGGACCCCATAACTAACAGGAAGATAGTCTGATAGAGTTCCATTTACATAAGTACTCTGAAAGCGATTTGATAGGTATGATTTGAACCACTGAACTGCATGCGGGTCGAGACCATAAAGTTGCAGTTTTTTTAACAATATGCTGTGGTCAACCGTATCAAAGGCTTTCTTAAGATCCAGAAAGAGTACACTGTTAATTAGGCCATCATCAATATTTAAGTACCAGTTGTTAGTAGCTTCAAGCAAGGCAGTCAAAGTAGAATGCATCGGTCTGAAGCCATGCTGAGAAACTGTCAGCAAATTATTGTGAGTTAGGTACTCATAAAGTTGTTTGAAGATAACCTTTTCGATTATTTTACTGACAACTGGTAGAATAGATATAGGTCTATAGTTATTAGGATCAGACTTAATATCCTCCTTATATAAAGGTAATACTTTGGAAATTTTCCACTCGTCTGGAAAATACCCACACCTAATGGATAGGTTAATTATATGGGTGAGAGAAGGCACGATTTCAGGACAAGCTTCTTTCAAAAGCCTTGCAGAAATACCATCTAGGCCTGTAGCCTTGTCGACTCGAAGCGAACTCACTAAACGGTGAACAACACCGCAGTGAGTCTCGTTCAGGGTAAAACTAGAATTTGATGGCGTAATGTAGTCCTCAAAACAAACACTAGTTTTGGGAATATTATCGGCTAACCTAGGCCCAATGTGAGTAAAGTGATAATTAAGAGCATTAGAGATTTCTAATGGGGTAGTACTTGAGTTATCTCCAACATCTATTCTATTTATTTCAGTTGTTGGTAAATTTCGGCCCAATATTGAGTTTACTCCTTTCCATGATTTCTTAATATCCCCTAGATTTGTTTCGAAATACCTTTTATAGTAGTTAGTTTTTGCTTTCCTGATATTAGCATTTACATTGTTTCGAGCAATCTTATACTCGGTCCAAAGAGCATCTGAATTGTTGATAATTGCAGCCCTTTTCAGTTTGTCCCTCTCAAACATCATCCTTTTTATCTCTGGTGTAAGCCAGGGAGCATAATTATTTCTTACTTTCCTTTTACGTTTTGGTGCATGGAAGTCACAAATTTCTAAAAACAGACGTGACCAAATTTCCCAGGCACGATTTGGATTATCTTCCAGATGAACTAGGTGCCAAGGTGCTAGGTTAAGGTCAGCGTGGAATGAATTAGCATCAAAGTTCCTAAACTGTCGCGACTCCACGATCTTTGGTTTCCCTTTGGGAATACAAAATTTTCTAACTCCATAGATAAGAGAATGGTCACTTATTCCGATGTGACAGACCCCAGAATGCGTAAAAATTTCCTTGTTATTTGTTAGGAATAAATCAATAGTAGTAGCGGATTTTTCAGTGATTCGGGTATGTTCATTTATCAACTGGTGGTATTGGTAAAGGTTACAAATTTCCTGAAGATTCTTTGTATGTGATTCTAGTGGGCAAGCAGCCACATTACAATTTAAATCCCCCAAAATATTTACCTCTAGCCCCAGCGATTCGATTCGCTGAACGAGAAGTTCAAAATCCTTCATGGCGTCTACATTAGAACGTGGTGGTCTATACCACGTACTCACAATAAAAGATTTAGCCTTGGGTTTGATTACCTTAATGCCAATCCACTCGAGGCTTTCGCACTCGAGATCAAATAGGCGTTCATAATTGATAGTATTCCGGATATAAAGGGCGACACCCCCTCCGTCTCTGTTTCTATCATTTCTCTCCAGGGCATAGCCTGGTACTGTAACTTCGCCACTAGTTATAGTATCATCGAGACGAGTTTCATTAACCGCAAGAATATCAATACATTTCGAATTCATATAAATCCGCAATTCCTCGATATGGCCGGGAATACTAGTAATGTTAAGGGCAGCTAACTTAAAACCCCTATTTTTGGATAATTCACTTAACAGATCAGCATTTAGTTCTAAGTTTTTTTAACTTCTTTATACTGAAACGTGGCAAGTTTAGATTTCAAAGGTGAAATTGTTCCTATAGAACTTCCAAATCCAGAGGAAACACAAATACGGAAAGGTGAAAACAAACTGGTTCGTTCCCGCTAATATTTACATTGATTTGCTGACAAACTAATTGGATGCTACGGTAACGGTTCGATTGACGTCGCAGAATAATTTGAATTTGGAGCATGCTCAATTTTGTCGAAGAGGTCGGCAGACATTCTCGACCCCAGTGCTTACGGGTGAGGTTCCTTCCTCTTCCCGACTTATCTAGGCATAATGAAAAATAAATACGTCTCTTACTAGAATCAGACCCTTCAACAATCACAAAAACTCGGTTTTTATTGTACAATCAAAGACGACTATAGCCCCTCGCCGTACCTAGTTTTAACAAGAAAAAACCCTTCGAGAAAAGCATTAGTTAGATTTAGAATAAGTAGTCATCACCTTAGAATTGAAACAGGTAGATACGAATAGGTATAGTTATTGACGATTTCAATGTTTTCATTGGTAACCAAAAAATCGTGTTTATCTATTGCTGATTTTCTACATAACTTTTAACATACAATAACTTTGGTTTTAGTTGGATTAATCTTAAGAAGCCAATCCTGACAATATTTTGATAGTCTGTCAAGACTTTGTTGCAAACCTTCTGCCGAGGTAGATATTAGAAGTAAATCATCGGCATAAAGTAGACAGTTTAAGTGAGAACCATCTGGTAGTAAGATAGAATCTTTAGCATTGTTATTTAGAATGAAGGGTAGTTAGTTTAGATAAAGGTTAAATAGAAGCGGTGACAGAATACAGCCTTGTCGTACACCTTTATCATAGTAAAAAATTCTGATCGAGTATAATTGTCTTTCACACAACATATTGAATTTGAATACATGCTGGAAATTATTTTGTAAAAGGAGCCACCTACGTTATATTTCAACAGTTTGTATAGTAAACCTTGGTGCCAGGTTGAGTCAAATGCCTTTTAAAAATCAACAAAACAAGTATAAAGTTTACCTCTGGGGGAGTGGGTAACATGTTGGTCTATTAATGTTCTTAAACTAAAGATATGCTCAGACGCACGATGTCCGGGCACAAAGCCAATTTGGGAGCAATGAAGTATTTTATGATTGTTTGAAAAGTTTAATAATCTCGTATTTAAAATAGAACAAAAGACTTTGCCAAGACAACCTACTAATGCAAATACCTCTGTAATTTCAAGGGTCATCTTTGTTTCCAGATTTATGCAAGGCAGTGATTATTCCATTACTCCATGATGTAGGAAATGTTCCAGATTGTAGAATCAGATTAAAAAGTTTCTCAAGTGGATATTTTATAAAGCTTGAGCTTGTTTTAATCATTTCATTGCGTTTTCCATCAAGTCCAGCGGCCTTCTTGTTTTTTAGTTTTTTAATTGCTTTATCAATCTCTTCAATGGATATTGGGTTGTCTAATTCCGATTGTAAATGGTTGCTGTCCTCCAAACGCTTTTTATCGTTTAACATGTGTATTTGAAATGCCGATAATGTATTAGGATCAGGTGCTGAGTGTAGCATTTTAAAATGATCATAAAGTTTATTGGTCGGATTTTCGTTCATTGACTTTAGAGTATCCCAAAATTTGCGGTTATTTTCGTTACTAATCACCTCATTTATTTTAGAGTCAACAAATTGTTGTTTTTTTTGTTTTATAAGTTTTTTAAAGGTTTTATTTTGAACATGATATTCTTTTCTGAGTTCGGTATCCAGAGGATTGCGGTGTTTTTTGTTGTCTTTGTTAGATAAATTTTTAAGTGAAGATCTTAAAGTTTTGCAATCATAATCAAACCACTTCTTAGTAATTGGCTTTCTTTTAGATTTCTTTTGGCTACTTAATTTGAGTGAACGTTTTGCTGCCTCAGTCATAATGTTTGTGAATTGATTGGTAGCATTTTCAACATCTGTACTGCTTAAATCGAAGTTTGTACTTTCGAAGAGATGTAATAAAGACAGAATATCGTTGGAACGAAAGGCAGCAGTGAATTTTGCTGCAGACGTTTCGTCCCAGACATACTGTTGTGGAAGCTTAACGTTGTTTTCCTCTTGAAAACCATTATTATTATTTGAGAGGTCTGTACCAGTTTTGATCCAGAAATATATTGTCATATATAGGGGTGTATGGTGATGTATAGGGTTGTATGGTTATGTATGGGGATGTATGGTGATGTATGGGGGTGTATGGTGATGTAAAGGGGTGTATGGTTATGTATAGGGATGTATGGTGATGTATAGGGATGTATGGTGATGTATAGGGATGTATGGTGATGTAGAGCGGTGTATGGTGATGTATAGGGGTGTATGGTGTTGTATAGGGTTGTATGGTTATGTATGGGGGTGTACGGTGATGTATAGCGCTGTATGGTGATGTATAGGGATGTATAGTGATGTATACGAGTGTATGGTGATGTATAGGGATGTATGGTGATGAATGGAGGTGTATAGTGATGTATAGGGATGTATGGTGATGTATAGGGGTGTATAGTGATGTATAGGGGTGTATAGTGATGTATAGGCGTGTATGGTGATGTAGAGCGGTGTATGGTGATATATAGGGGTGTATGGTGATTTATAGGGATGTATGGTGATGCATAGGGATGTATGGTGATGAATGGAGGTGTATGGTGATGTATAGGGATGTATGGTGATGTATAGGGATGTATGGTGATGCATAGGGGTGTATGGTGATGTATAGGGGTGTATGGTGTTGTATAGGGTTGTATGGTTATGTATGGGGGTGTACGGTGATGTATAGCGCTGTATGGTGATGTATAAGGATGTATAGTGATGTATACGGGTGTAAGGTGATGTATGGGGATGTATGGTAATGTATGGAGGTGTATGGTGATGTATAGGGGTGTATGGTGATGTATAGGGGTGTATGGTGATGTATAGGGGTGTATGGTGTTGTATAGGGTTGTGTGGTTATGTATGGGGGTGTACGGTGATGTATAGCGCTGTATGGTGATGTATAAGGATGTATAGTGATGTATACGGGTGTATGGTGATGTATGGGGATGTATGGTGATGTATGGAGGTGTATGGTGATGTATAGGGATGTATGGTGATGTATAGGCGTATATGGCGATGTATAGCGGTGTATGGTGATGTATAGGGGTGTATGGTTATGTATAGGGGTGTATGGTGACGTATAGGGATCTGTGGTGATGTATAGGGGCTGTATGGTGATGTATAGAGGTGTATGGTGATGTATAGGGGTGTATGGTGACGGATAGGGATCTGTGGTGATGTATAGGGGTGTATGGTGATGTATAGGGGTGTATGGTGATGTATAGGGGTGTATGGTGATGTATAGGGGTGTATGGTGATGTATAGGGGTGTATGGTGATGTATAGGGGTGTATGGTGATGTATAGGGGTGTATGGTGATGTATAGAGGTGTATGGTGATGTATAGGGGTGTATGGTGATGTATAGGGGTGTATGGTGATGTATAGGGGTGTATGGTGTTGTATAGGGTTGTGTGGTTATGTATGGGGGTGTACGGTGATGTATAGCGCTGTATGGTGATGTATAAGGATGTATAGTGATGTATACGGGTGTATGGTGATGTATGGGGATGTATGGTGATGTATGGAGGTGTATGGTGATGTATAGGGGTGTATGGTGATGTATAGGGGTGTATGGTGATGTATAGGGGTGTATGGTGTTGTATAGGGTTGTGTGGTTATGTATGGGGGTGTACGGTGATGTATAGCGCTGTATGGTGATGTATAAGGATGTATAGTGATGTATACGGGTGTATGGTGATGTATGGGGATGTATGGTGATGTATGGAGGTGTATGGTGATGTATAGGGATGTATGGTGATGTATAGGCGTATATGGCGATGTATAGCGGTGTATGGTGATGTATAGGGGTGTATGGTTATGTATAGGGGTGTATGGTGACGTATAGGGATCTGTGGTGATGTATAGGGGGTGTATGGTGATGTATAGAGGTGTATGGTGATGTATAGGGGTGTATGGTGACGGATAGGGATCTGTGGTGATGTATAGGGGTGTATGGTGATGTATAGAGGTGTATGGTGTTGTATAGGGGTGTGTGGTGATTATAGGGGTGTATGGAGATGTATAAGGGTGTATGGTGATCTATAGGGGTGTATGGTGATGTATAGGGGTGTATGGTGATGTATAGGGATGTATAGGGGTGTATGATGATATCTGTAGGTGTTTGTAGTATAATAATAAGATTTTCTAAGACATAATAGGTATTTTTAGGTACATAATAATAATCATATATGAAGTACCTACCCCTTGCCTAGGTACTGCCGCTGACCAGTAAAGGAAGCTCCGCAATCTCATATCCAGAGTCTTCTGGCTTAGTTTTGCCCCGCTGACAAAAAAAGCCGGAAGACTCTGGGTACGAGATTGGAAGCTCTGCGACGAAATGACGACGAAAGGACTGTAGGGTAAACTACACGTACCATGCCACTACCCATCCCCACAAATCCCCACCACCACACCACCCCCTACCACTCCAGCTCACTTTCTAAACTCGCCGCAGGCCCATAACCAGGCCCCTTCTGTCAGCTCCCTAATCCTGTCTGTAATTCCCCTTTACTTCTTTCTCTGTTTCTTCCTTATTTTGAATATTTCTCTTTGTTTCATTGTTTTTTTAGTTAAAAAGATTGAACAATATGCAAGGAAAACTTTGACCATGCTAAGGAGGACGGAATTTGGTGTAAAGTTCGTTCTTGGAAACACGCTACTTAAAAGGAAACCAAATGTAAACGAAGAGGAAAACAATCTGCGTAATTTTCAAGTGTAGTGAAATTTCCATGAATATTCGTAGATATATTTTACAACAGTCGAAAGCAAAACAGACATAAGTATATGGGGGGCGCGCGCTTCTAATTAATCAACATGTACAGCCCGGCTGGCACCACTAACAAACAAAAAGTGCAAACGTGCCTTCCTTTCCTACCTAGCCTGCGTAGCTGCCGAAATTAGCAGGCGAGTGCAGTAGTTTTGGGCGGCGGAGCCGCTCGCGACAATCCATCGCAGCTTCACCGCTATCGCTTCACGTAGCGGCTCCGCCGCCAAGAAAGTAACCCGGGGCACAACAATCCCGCCAGCTACGCAGGTTATCTTTTCCAGCCTCCTTTCGCGAAACAGGTTTAGCGGAAGGTTGAAAAATCTGATAAAGTAGCAAACCTGTGATTCTCAGGTATATAAAAGTATATGAATTTATTGGTTTTTGTTGCGAAAGCGCTTTTAAAGCGGTGTATTCTCAGCAACGTAAAGTAATTTGAAGAAGACTGGATAAAGAAAAACAATCATTTACTAAATTCGATACTAAATCCTTTCTCCCTATATTTTGATATCTGCGTTTCTCATCAACCTCAGCTAAAAAGAAGCTAAAATCAAGAAAAAACTGTTTAGCTACCTGAAACATGCACACGCTAATTGTTAGGCAAAGTAACTCCTACAGTCTGGCGATGTTATAGAACATGTTAACCAAGAGCCATATAATAAATAGGACTCTGTCCTATTACATGTATGGCTCTTGACATTAACTAGTAACGCTGTCTCTAGACTGAAAATGTATTTGATTTTATGGTACAAAGCAAATCTTATAGATTTAATGGCACAGGAAAACCTATTTATTTATTTCAGTTTTAAGCAACAGAAGAAAACGTAGAGGGCCTAGATTTTTTACTTTATCCATAAAACTGCTTAAAATTCACGTTTCTTTCCCGGATTTACTGTACTGAATTTATTTATAGTTGAAAGTGTCGACTAGACTTGCTACAAGTCGACCTCATGAGTGTCTTAGCGAGCAGAGCGAGCTGTTTAGGCCGCGAATTCGTCCCGCGCCATATTAAATCGGACAAAGGACTTTTTTGAAAGTCTACCTTACAAGACTGTAATATATTTTCAATTCGCTTGATTTCTGGTGTTACAGTGGCCATTATTCAGATTATTGTTGAAATAAATGACAAATTTCAACTTAACTGCACACCGTTGTTGACTACCCGGGGTTGACTAGCGTGCAAAAGCATTCCGGTTGGCGACCCTACACTAACGAAATTTGCTCCGCAAAATTAAACATATTCCTAAAGGTTGTTCAAAAGTATACAGCTTTCTCGAGTTTTCTTTTTGGAAAACGTTTAAAAAGTCAAACAGTGAGAGCTGAACTTTACTTGATTTACTATTGTTTTTGGTTAAACTTCCTCTTTCTTAGCAGTAAGACAACCTTTGAATGAAATGTTGTTGTCCACCAGTCGGCCAGACCTGAAGAAACAGACGAAGTTGTATAATCAAGTGTCATCGCAGTTAATGGAACAAAATACGAAAATAAAGACGTCTAATTAATTTGACAAAAGGTGTATGATATTTGCGAGTTAATATTTACCTAGCACTGACATAATTTTCTTTACAGTGTTAGAAGTTAAATACTGTTTATTTAGCTCTGGGAAGTCCAACATGTTACTTTTTCCTTGTTACCAGTACTTCACCTAGACGCATCGCTCTGGTGATAGTGAAACACGTGTGATGCTGTTTCTCTGCGCTTTGTTATCTGTGTGGAAGAATATTATACACTGCGTGACCCAAAAAATCAGTGTAAGCCTAAAAACTGAATGTTTATTAGTTGTCGAGATCTTCGCGGCAATCCACCCGGAAGAGCATGTCTTGCGCTCCATTAAATATCTTTAGTTAACTTGATTGCAGATTTGCAAAAAATATGTAAATATACAGATATACACAATCTTAAATTTAAAAAAGTCGATACTCAGCGTGATAAATGAATAAATACATTTTCAAAAAGAAAGCTGAAATAATTGACTAAAAAGTTCATGGGCATCTCTTTTTGATTTGAGTTAAATAAATGCTCGGCGTGTAAGTATGTTTGTTGTAAAACACATGTAATTTGAATAAAAATGAGACGACCTCGCGTAGATACGTTCTTTGTAAAAAGATTCAAGGGTAAACTTGTTTTATCAAAAAGGTTCTTTTTTATCCTTTTTAGCCCCGTATCAGTTATTACATGGCAGGATTTTTTCGAATACACATCGACCATGTTAAAAAATTTAAACGCAACATCATTTGGAAATATTAAAAACTGAATTAAAATAAAGTAAAAGTTCTTACCACGAGGCTATAAGTTATAAGCCGTAAAGACAGGTTATGGTAACTTTCAATAGCGGTGCATAGCCTGATTTATCAAATCTTCCTGAATTTATCGCAGCTTTTTGAAGTTACAGTTTTTTAAAAACTTATATCTTGCTTAGTTAGAGGATTAAAATACAACAATATCTTCCTGAGAGCGAAATATTTTCGTTCGTGACCAAAATTTGGCTACGAGATTGGAGGCTCTGCGACGAAATGACGACCAAAGGTTTGTGGGGTAAACTACCTTGCCACTATCCATTCCCACCACTCTAGCTCACTATCTTCTATCTCCCTCAGCTCCCTACTCCTGTCTGTGCTTACAACACGGTTTATTTCATTTTAGGATTTATTTGTTTCTCGGAGATACTAGCTTATTTTTGGCTACTCTGAAATTCGAGATGAAATAAAGTTTTATCTATGTATGTATGTATGTATGTATGTATGTATGTATGTATGTATGTATGTATGTATGTATGTATGTATGTATGTATGTATGTATGTATGTATGTCTGTATGTACAATTGCCCAATTCCCCTTTACTTCTTTTCCTGTTTCTTCCTTATTTTGAAAATTTCTCTTTGTTTCATTGATTTTTAGTTAAAAATATTGAACAATATGCAAGGAAGGGTCTGACCATGCTAAGAAAGACTGAATTTGGTGGAAGTCCGTTCTTTAAAATACGCTACTTAAAAGGAGAACAAAATTAAACGAAAAGGAAAACAATATTTGCGTAATTTTCAAGTGTAGTGAAATGACCATGAATATTCGTAGATATATTTTTCAACAGTGGAAAGCAAAAAATGCATAGGGAGCGCGCGCCTCTAATTAATCCACATGCACAGCGCCGCTGGCACTACGCTAAAAAACAGAAAGTGAAAATGTGCCTTCTTTCCTAGCCTGCGGGCGGGATTAGCAGGCGCGGAGTGTAGTAGTCTTTGGCGGCGGAGCCGCTCGCGAAAATCCCTCGCGGCGCCGCCGCCAAGAATCGAGCACAACAATCCCGCCACCTACGCAGGCTATCCTTTCAAGCCTCCTTTCGCTAAACAGGTTTAGCGAAAGGTTAATATAAAATCTCATAAAGTAGCAAACCTGTGATTCTAGGGTATATAAAACTACAATATAAAAGCGGTGTATTCTCAGCAACGTATAGTAATTTGAAGAGGACTGGATATAGCAAAACAATCATTTACTGAATCATTTCTCCCTATGTTTTGATATCTGTAATTCTCTTCAACCTCAGCTTATTTCCCTTGTTCAAAATGAATTTGCAGTAAGAAATGCTAAAAATGTTCAGTAGCCAGTATTTACATAAAGGACACAGAATGCCCCAAGACATTATCGTTAAGCTTCGTTAAAAGAATTCCAAAGTAAGAGAATAAATTTTACATTCCAATACTTTGTTCGAACCGCAGGAGCTTCATGTAAAGGAATAACTTGATACCTGCATCTACATATTCCTTTGACAGACAGTAAAATAAGTATATTTTTGATTGAACTCGCCGGGAAGAAGCTAAAATCAAGAGAAAACTGTTTAGCTGCGTAAAACACACGCGGCAAAGCAATTCCTATATATATACTGTCTTCTAGTAAAAGGAAGTGCATTCTCCTAGCGATGTTATAGAACTTAACCAGTAACGCTGTCTCCGTAGACTGAAAATGTCTTTGCTTTTCATAGTACAAAGCAAACGAAGTGACACAAATCTTATAGATTTATCGCACAGGAAAACCTATTTATTTATTTCAGTTTAAAAGCAACAGAAGAAAATGTAGAGAGCCAACATTTTTTACTTTTTCCTTCATAAAACTGCTCAGCTTTCAGGTTTCTTTGCCGGAGGTGTACCGAATTTACTTATAGTTCAAGTTGACTAGAGTTGCTACAAGTCAACCTCCAGAACCTCATGAGTTTCTTAGCTGGCGGAGCGAGCTTTTTAGGCTGCGAATTCGTCCCGCGCCATCTTAAATCGGACGAAGGACTTTTTTGAAAGTCTACGTACCTGACAAGACTGTAATATATTTTCAATTCGCTTGATTTCTGGTGTTACAATGGCCATTATTCAGATTATTGCTGAAATGATAAATTTCAACTTAACTTCACACTCTTGTTGACTACCCGGGGTTGACTAGCGTGCAAAAGCATTCCGGTTGGCGACCCTACACTAACGAAATTTGCTCCGCAAAACCTATCGCTGGTGAGAGAAGAGATTGTTCAACAGTATACAGCTTTCCTCAGTTTTCTTTTTGGAAAACGTTTAAAAAGTCAAACAGTTAGAACTGAACTTTACTTGATTTACGATCGTTTTTCGTTAAACTTCCTCTTTCTTAGCAGTAAGACAACCTTTGAATGAAATGTTGTTGTCCACCAGTCGGCCAGACCTGAAGAAACAGACGAAGTTGTATAATCAAGTGTCATCGCAGTTAATGGAACAAAATACGAAAATAAAGACGTCTAATTAATTTGACAAAAGGTGTATGATATTTGCGAGTTAATATTTACCTAGCACTGACATAATTTTCTTTACAGTGTTAGAGGTTAAATACTGTTTATTTAGCTCTGGGAAGTCCAACATGTTACTTTTTCCTTGTTACCAGTACTTCACCTAGACGCATCGCTCTGGTGATAGTGAAACACGTGTGATGCTGTTTCTCTGCGTTTTGTTATCTGAGTGANGTTAAACTTCCTCTTTCTTAGCAGTAAGACAACCTTTGAATGAAATGTTGTTGTCCACCAGTCGGCCAGACCTGAAGAAACAGACGAAGTTGTATAATCAAGTGTCATCGCAGTTAATGGAACAAAATACGAAAATAAAGACGTCTAATTAATTTGACAAAAGGTGTATGATATTTGCGAGTTAATATTTACCTAGCACTGACATAATTTTCTTTACAGTGTTAGAGGTTAAATACTGTTTATTTAGCTCTGGGAAGTCCAACATGTTACTTTTTCCTTGTTACCAGTACTTCACCTAGACGCATCGCTCTGGTGATAGTGAAACACGTGTGATGCTGTTTCTCTGCGTTTTGTTATCTGAGTGAATGAATATTATACACTGCGTGACCCAAAAAATCAGTGTAAGCCTAAGAACTGAATGTTTATTAGTTGTCGAGATCTTCGCGGCAATCCACCCGGAAGAGCATATCTAGCGCTCCATTAAATATCTTTAGTTAACTTGATTGCAGATTTGCAAATATATATATATATATGAGCTCATATATATATATACAGATATACACAATCTTAAATAAAAAAGTCGATACTCAGCGCGATAAATGAATAAATACATTTTTAAAAAGAAACCTGAAATAAGAGACTAAAAAGTTCATGGGCATCACTTTTTGATTTGAGTTAAATAAATGCTCGGCGTGTAAGTGTCGTTTATTTTGTTGTGAAACACATGCAATTTGAATAAAAATGAGACGACCTCGGGTAGATACGTTCTTTGTAAAAAGATTCAAGGGTAAACTTGGTCTTAGTCCCGTATTAGTTATTGCATGGCACAATTTTTTCCAACACACATCGACCATGTTGACTGAAAAATTCGAACAGCAACTCATTTGGAAATATTAAAAACTGACTTACTACTAAGTAAAAGTTCTTACCACGAGGAGACTATAAGTTATAAGCATCAGTGTAAAGACAGGTTATGATAATTAACTTGAAATACATAGTATTTATCAAATCTTCCTGAATTTTAAAATACAACTTTTTGAAGTAACAGTTTTTTTTTGAACATAAATCTTCCTTAGAGGATTGAAAAAGAAACAATATCTTCCTGAGAAATACAGAGAGGAAAATATTTTCGTTCGTGACTAAAATTTCAACTTGATCGGTTTGGCACTGTAATTATTCAGATTATTTGTATCCCTTAAACAATTAGCTTGATATAAGTCAACAGCTCGTTTGGATTACCATCTGTCTTCCTCTGTCAACTGACAAACATGTTCACGAGTCAGTGGTAACAAGTTTCAATTCAAGTGCGTTAACAAATAGTCATCCAATAAACTCAGAAACGTTTTCCCTCTTTGAGTCAGTTGGCTTTCAGCTTCTACAGAGCTCTGAGGAAGTAACTAAATCAAAGACAAGAAAACCCTCTTCGTTTGTAATCCCGCGAGTATGAAGTTTGCAGCAGTGGTCTTGTTTCTGGTGGTATGTTTGGCTGTTGGCGTCCATTCTGCAAGCAAACAGCTGACACTTAATGGAAAAGCTCACATTCAGTTTTTCGGACCGAAAGACGAGATATGGAACGGTTTATCTCACGGTAAAATTAATCATAACAGTTAACCAATGATTTCAGTATTTTCGTAAGCATTTCTTAGGGGCACCCAACGACAATTTTCGGAAAAATATCTGTTCGGAAGACGATTTGAGATCTAGAATTTTCGAAACATTTGTTGTAAAACTTCTTGCTTGCCTGCCTCTCCTAGGATTTTCGAACATCTAAAAAATGGTATAATTGCCTATTTTTAACGGATTTTTACCGTAAAAAGGTCACCTAGAATTTTCGGGAGCCTTTTTTCTGGCTGAAATTTTCGAAAAGGTAAGTTTTGATCCCTATAATTTTCGGATCACTAGACTTTCAGCTAGGAAATCCGAACAGATGAAAAATTTGTAGGGGATAAAAATATGCCTTTATCTACCGTTTAAATACTAAAATACGTTTAAAAATGCGATGTTTAAGTGGTTTTGAACTATATTCCTGTTGGGTGCCCCTGATTTCTGGAACTAGCAGTCTTCACCGCATGCGATAGAAATGAGTTAAACATTAAAAAATTAAATGCCACATCATTTTTTGAAGTTTTAATGAAAACATGTATAGCGCAAAAATCATCAGAAAATTACCTTTCCGCTTTTCGGCCTCAACATCGAACATAAAATTTAGGGCAGTAAGATATACAGTTCATTTTCTTATTTCCCCTTTTTTCCATTTCCTCTTCTCAAGGCAACCGGTATCCCATCATTAACAGTGGTGACATCATTGCATTGCGATCGGCGTACAATTCAGGAAGTTACGTGAAGTATTGGCTGTATTGTCACACATCTTACTGCCTTTTTACTTCCGGACCAAGCAAAGTGATGACCACATCAAAATGGTCCTCCTTGAATGGTTACGCTAAGTTTATGATCACTGCAAGAGGAAAGATGGATGGACAGCCGATCAACAGTGGAGATACAGTGATACTGAGCTCGCCAAAGTTAGGCTCTAAATATTGGCTCAGATGTTGGACAAGCACAAGCTATCAATGTCGTTTGAGTTCGTAAGTATCACGATATCGATCCTACTGATAGATTTTGAAATTTATGATAAAATTGGATCATAGGTGAGAAACAGAGAACAAATAAAAGGAATATGATAACAAGGTTAAACTCTGAACAATTATAGGAAATCAAAAAGAAAATAAATTAAATGAATACATAAAAAGGTAAAGGTAAATCAACCATATTTTACGTCGATAACTCGTGACAGTAATAACTGACAAACTTGGAGGTCGACGGTGCGCTCATTTTACCCCTCCCCCCCCCTTTCCATCAATGCTCCATTTTGAGCGTATTTAAAGCTAGTTAAAGCTACACAGAAAGGAGAGAAGTTGAAACAAGGATGTGATGTCATCGGGGATCAAACTCGGGACCTCGCGCACCTATGGCCGCCCACTAACCAACTGTGACACCCTTGCTCCTGTAACGCTTCTTCGAAACACATTGTGAACTTGTCACTTTTTCATCGTTCATTCGAGGAGTAAAGGGCCCCGCTATTTGAAAATGTTATGTGGTCATCTATTCATTTGTTAAATTTCTTTAATTGAACAGATTTAGAAGTAAGATCCTGTCAAGTGACTGGTTAACCTATAGTTACGCCACCTTCCAGATCTACTCCAGGTACGCTCCCGAGGGAACCCCTATACAATACCGCGATATTGTGGCGTTCAAATATCCCTTCGCAGGCTACAGTACCTGGCTGTACTACTCTTCTGGCCGCTTTTACACCAAGAGCTGCAGCTACTACAACAAAGCATCATGCGCAACTGAAAACACTACTACTGGATTAAGGATCTTCAAGAAGCTGTGAAACGATCATGTTGCGACTAAACTGTAAAACAAACTTGCAACAATTCAGTGACTGAAAGCGTCTGATAAAATTTCAGTAACAATGATTAATTAAGCTTGAAAATAGTTTTTGGTATGTTTGGTAAAGAAGAAAACAAAACAAAACGAACAATAAACGCGATGTGGAAAAATGTCTGTTGTGCCAAGCCTGAAAGTTGTTTTTACTGAAATAATCCTTTGATGAGCTTTCAGCCACGGTTTTATTGCATGTTAAACTGTGCCTTAAACATTACTCGTCAATAAAGGCGTTCTAAACTGAAAAGAAATGACTGGACTACCTTAATCATGAGCTGCCTTCTTAAAAATTAGACGGCAAGTGGGATTTCGGCAAGACAAAACTTACATTGATCATAAGAAGACACTGAACAAGATCTACGCCCAAAAAAAGTTTTCGCAACACTAAGAACACAAACAACTGCGACCTTTAAACATCACCCCAAATATTACACTGAACATGTCTCTGTATTTTTAAAGACAGCTTTAAGAGGAACCAGTTTTCCAGTCAAAAGGGAGCGACTCTGAAACGGGAATGAGAAGAGAGAAAGTGAGAACTTTGTCTACTTTTCGTTCGGCTGTCATTTCCTCATGAGAAGAAAAATCAGTGGGCCGTCTGAAACCTATCAGGGGCACCCAACGAGGATATAGTTCAAAACAAATCAACATAGCATTGTTGAACATATTTTAGTATTTAAACGGTAGATATAGGCATATTTTTATCCCCTAACAACTTTTCATCTGTTCGGATTTCCTAGCTGAAAGTCTAGTGATCCGAAAATTATAGGGATCAAAACTTACCTTTTCGAAAATTTCAGCCAGGAAAAGGCTCCCGAAAATTCTAGGTGGCCTTTTTTAGGGTAAATATCCGTTGAAAATGGGTAATTATACCATTTTGTAGATGTTCGAAAATCCTAGGAGAGGCAGGCAAGCAAGAAATTTTACAACAAAATGTTCCGAAAATTCTAGTTCTCAAATCATCTTTCGAACAGATATTTTCCTGAAAATTTCCGTTGGGTACCCCTGACCTATACATTCTAAAAATTGTACAATACCACGACTGAATGTTTCGAGAATTTAGACGTAGGTTCATTAAACCGTGAAATTAGATGAGGTTGGCTTATCATCTGGTCGGAGCACGGAACACTGTTCCATTTGGGTCCTTTTTCTTTAATTATAATTTGTTCCCTTCACGTGAAGAAAGAAAGGTTCATCTTAGAAATGAGAGCGAAAAGAAGTGCCATCGGAAAGCTACGCACTACAAAAATACGCAGAGCGTGGGATCTAAACACAATAGGGCAATCTTTACTTGGGAACGGAGCTAAGGTACAGTAGAACCTTGATTTAACGAACATCTTTACCACGAATTCCTCGGCATAACGAACCATTTTCCTATCCCCAGTAAAAGTAAAATATATGAAAAAGAACCTCGATGTAACGACACCTCTGTTAGTGAACATTTTTTGTCAGCACCCTGGCCCTTCGTTGTATCGAGTTTCCATAGCACTGTAACTCTCCACAGGGGCACCTAACGACAATTTTCGGAAAATATCTGTTCGGAAGACGATTTGCGATCTACAATTTTCGGAACATTTGTTGTAAAATTTCTTGCTTGCCTGCCTCTCCTAGGATTTTCGAACATCTAAAAAATGGTATAATTACCAATTTTTAACGGATTTTTACCCTTAAAAGGTCACCTAGAATTTTCGGGAGTCTTTTTTCTGGCTGAAATTTTCGGAAAGGTAAGTTTTGATCCGTATAATTTTCGGATCACTATACTTTCAGCTAGGAAATCCGAACAGATGGAAAATTTCTAGGGGATAAAAATATGCCTATATCTACCGTTTAAATACTAAAATACGTTTAACCATGCTATGTTTAAGTGGTTTTGAACTATATTCTCGTTGGGTGCCCTGTCTCCAGACGAAAAACGACACCATCTAAAATAACGCGGCAGTAACATTTATTTCTGTTTAAATTTATATAGGGCAATCATTATCGAAAACTGTGCAAGTTCTTCAGGGCACGAGTTATTAGAAATCTAGTTTCTTTTCACAGCGTTAGTTAGAAGTGTATAAAAATGTAAGAAAAATATAGAGAAAATCGTCAGTTTGGAAATGTTGTCTCAATACATAGTTTCGCGCAACTGATTTAAATTTTTGCGGCAGTGAGTAACGAATTAAACGATAAGATTTTGACCTTTAAATAAGTTGGAAGGTTCAACCTTTGGAACTCAAAGTAGAAAAAATTGTAATTTTTATCTCAGGGGTCGAGGAAAATATATGTCTGAATACATACCTGCATTATTTCTTTTACATATTAATAAACTCTAAAAAATTTTTCGACGTCAACCAACAAACTACCTACCTAGTGAAGCGTTCCTGAAGATTGAGTCTGCAGTTATTTCTTTATACACGTACATTCAAAAATCAATGCATAATTTTACATAAATATGTTCTAAAAATTATTGCTAATTTCTCGTTCACTTAAATCTTGAAAACCCCATTCTTAATTAGCTTTTGCCATTCAGATCCGCCTGGAAATTCGTATGCATCTAAAGATTCCTTCCTCATTTCTGCACTATACCCTGGGTCCTGAGAAGAAAAACAATGCAAGTGATAAGTAACGATTTTTTGTTATGTTGTTTTAATTTTATTATTGTTAAAAAATTAAATAAATAAAGATCAATATATAACAATACGAAAAAAAAAAAATCAAAAACTCACCATTGGAACTTTGTAAGCGCCATTCTCTACAGCACAAGGATGGATAAAATGCTCATGAAGATGATCAGCAAATTCAGTTACCCTGCAGCAGAAGAAGAAGAACCAAAATGTTGTTGTAAATGCTTCTTCTGTTTTAAGTTCAAACAAGTTTTTTACAGCAGAGATGAGCGTACCGCACCTTAAATTAACGAAAACCACAGCCCAGGTGTGGTATCAAGGTAGCCCTTCAATGAGTCGCAATTTATTCATAATTTGTCTTATTTCTACAATTTAACTTTTGACCAAATTAAAGAAAAAGAAAAATTGAATGGCTGACAAAATGGTGATCAAAACAGGGTTTCGGAAAGTTCTTACTGACAGCCTCAGAGACTGTCAATGTGCCTATAGCAATCATCCAATCACCTTGATATTGAAGTCAAAGGAACACAACTCTCGTCTGATCAGTATAAAAACTGCACCTGTTCAGAAAGGCCACAGCCTGCTGTCTTCTTACGTGGCAGCAGGAAACCTAAAACTCTTAGACTGACAATACAAACTAAAGAAAAAATATTTCATATGAAAATTTCTGGTATAATAACTCAAATACAAATTCTAACCTGTTTTCTAATGATGCTGAGACACAGATGAAGTCAAAGATTGAAATGTGTTGAATGTATTCACACAAACCAACACCACCACCATGAGGACATACAGGAACTGAAGTCAAGGAAAAAAAAAAAAAAATACAGAGAGGTTAGAGTTACTTACCATTGCACGATATCTAAAAAAAGACAGTGACATTTGTTTTCTTGATCTCAGTATTTTCTACTCTAAAAGACAGTGACATTTGTTTTCTTGATCTCAGTATTTTTTGCTCTGTACAGTATACTTTTTCTTGGGCTAAGGACAAGCAGTTTCAAGTGGTTGAAATGTGGCCACCAAAATGAAAGGACTGCTTATGTTACAGGTCAAATTTGATTTCAGGTTAAATTTTTTTAACGTAGGTTGATTCTCAATTTCCTTTGTTTCCTAGCCCTAATTATTCATGATAGGGCTGGGAAACAAAGGAAATTGATAAAAATTAACCACAAATCAAATTTGACCTGTAACACTTACATTTAAGAAAAAGGAACGAACGAACTGTACATGTATCATCTGTATTATTTCAGCAACGAATTTTACCTCCAAACTTAGCAGCCATCAGCAAGACTGCCAAGACTTCATTCAATCCACCCATTCGACAGCTGTCAATCTGGCAGAACTGAAATCCTTTAGCCTGGAATAACTGTTTAAATATGACCCTGTTTTGACAGTGTTCTCCTGTAGCAACACCAATACCATATGGCTCCAGTGCCCTGGAAATAGCAGCGTGACCTGTATAATGTTACTCAATGTAAATACCTGTTTAATAAGATTAGTTAGAAAGTGATTTAAAAGGTGCATAAAATGTAGCGTCCCACGAAGACGTTCTTAGGGGTTCTTCACGCGAACATTTATTCATGTATGGCATTTACAACATAACCATTAATAAAATGGGGAATAGTTCAGTTATCAAAATACACAAAGCCAGAAGAAAAGTGAAACTAATTTTTCAGCAACATTAAAGTGGTTTTACGAAACCCGTGAAACAGTACCAAACAGGACCAAATAGTTACAAGTAAACATAAGAAAACAATGATAAATTAGACCCTAATACTGTGTATTAGTCTACTATGTACATCACTGGTTTGGTTAAATCACTCTAAGCCAAAATAATATCACAGAATTCTCCTCCATTTTAGTCTTATTTGGCAGGTGCGCTGTGGCAAAAAGAATCATGTGATTATCTTAGGAGTTAAAATCACCTAATGCGTCATCTGGAGAGGTTGGTTCTTCAATCCATATTGGTTTAAACTTGGCCAACTGTTTCATGTAATCAATAGCTTCATTGACATCCCAGCACTGGTTTGCATCCATTGCCTGTGAAAATAATGTATAAAGCACATGGATTCTAAAGTCTCCATACTAGTTTTGGAAATAAGTTCTTTGTATCATCGATGTACATGTACATCGGATAACATGATTATTTTCTTAGCGGCATGATTTACATATCACAAGATACATGCTTGAAACAGAAGGTGAGAAGCTTATCATTTGAAACAAACCTTGTGGAGCCAAAGTAATGCAAGTCAAATCTTGTTTATAGACCCTAAGTCAAATTGAGAATTCATTGAAGGACTTGTCCAGGGAAAGCCAAACATGAAGAATACTCCTCCGAATTCAAAGAATCAGGTGAGAAATGATGCAAAGTTCGAATCATTTCAGAATCATTGCTGAAGGTTCCCTTAGTATGAACCTTTCTCCAGGTCGAGAAAACTTGATTTTCCAAATAAGTATAACAATGTCTTGCTCTGCAATGTTTTTGATTTATTTAATTTCTCTAACTCTTTATTTTAATCATTGCAGGCGATCTCTTCCCCCCAATGCTGACACGTTTTCCACCTCTTTTTTTCTTGTTCCTTTGTATACTGTTTACAACCAATAATAAAATAATATTACAAGATGATGAGTAAAAGCACA